GAGCTGTGTGAACCCGCAGTTCAGCAAAACCCTAAACCACAAACCCCGAACCCCTAACCACCTAAACCCCCTAAGCCCTATGAAAGGCACCTTACAAACCCTCAGCCGTAAGCCCTGAGCTTTGGTATTCCCGTCAGATCGAGGAGCCCCCAGACCCGACGCTCCGAAAGCCCCAAAACGAATTTGGAAGCAGGGTTTCTGGTGTCTTTTGAGAGGGGGGGGGTGGGGGGGCAGGGTTTAGGCTTTAGGCTTTGGGGTTTAGGCTTTTTTTGTTTGGGGTTTAGGCTTTGGGGTGTGGGGTTTGAGGTTTAGGGTTCAGGTTTGCTTAGGGTTTAAGCACAGCCCGCACGTGCATGCCACTAGTGGATGTCCTGGTCCTGGTGAAGCCTCTGCCCGTCAGTTGTATTGGGCTGAAGGTACAACCTCGCCGCGGCCTATCGCGACGGCCGGGGAGTTCCACGTGATGCGGAGCAGGCCGATCGTCTTTGGCCTGTGCTGCGGCCCCGACTACTTTCTATTTTGAGAGTCCAGCCCTGTGAGGGGTCAGAGACTCGAGTTGTAGCCAACCCTGAACCCCAAGCCGTAGAACTAGGCCCCGCTTGCATGCATTCCCGTAGCCACGGGATCCAGCAAAAAGTTCAAAGAATAATCGGAGCGTCTCCGGCTCTGACCTTTCCGACCCCCTTGATCAGTGGAAATCTGCCAACTTCTGAGTATCATACAGGGATTATAGGGAGTAGAATACAGGGATTATAGGGACTATCATGACCAGCCGCTTCTTCAGACCTCTACAAGAGACTGCAATTGAGGGTTTCAAGATGTCCGTTCCATTTGGAAAGTCAAGGTGCTTATGTTTTCCACGGGAGGCAAAGTTGTATGGTTCGAAGCTACCTCGCCTTCCCTGCTGAGGCCCCCTGCAGCTTTTGAGCCTTCCGTACTTACTGTCCCTAAGCCCAGCTTCATGGAGGGCCCAGCACCCATAACAGCACTACTCGAGAGCCTCTGGTCGCTCTCTTAACATAGGGGTTCCCCCCCCAATAAAAAACAGCATCATCGGGGAACAGGGCTCTCGGCCCTAAACCCTAAACCCTAAGCCCACTCTAAGAAAGTGCTAGCAAGGCTGTCGTGTGGACGCGTCGAGCAGCAGAGCTGGGCCACACCAAAGCCGGGTTCTTGGCCTGTGTGGGTTGAGGATTTAGGGTCTATACATTATGGGGTTTCGGGATGTTTAAGGTTTGGTTGGGGTTTCCCTAACTTGGGGGGGCCAGAATATTCAGCAATACTCCTCCTTCGGGTTTTTAAAAAAACCGTATGACAATATACACCGAAGGCCTGTTCTAATCATGTACAGTCGGCTGCTGGGCGCCAAAACCTACCCCCCAAACGGCCAAAGCTTCTTCCAAAGCATGTGCTATATTGGTACGTAGTCCAGTTATCACTCGTATTATTGTAATCGCTCCTCGCAGCTCCCTGGTTTAGGCTGGTGGTTTGCCGTTATCATAATGAGCACCATCGACACAGTTGTATGAGCACTGGCGGGTGTGCTATGAGCCTGTTGTGTTTATCCTCTATGGTAGTTTCGTAGAAGCCATACCAGCTTCATGATGTCGTCGGACCTACTACTTATCGTGTTCTTGAGTTTAGGGCTGAATAATTACGAATATACTCTTCGCTAGGGTTCCGTTTTCGTTTCATTCGAACATACCCCAAAGCCCCATTCCAAGTGCTAAGGCCCTGTTTAAACCTTTCATGCAGAAAGCAAGCCAGAAGGTCGCGCTTCGAAACAGAGCCCAAACCCCTAAAACCCTAATAACCCTAAGCCCCAAACCCTTAAAGCCTAAAGCAGGGGTATTCTCAGAAACTGCTCCAGACCCAGATGGGGCCGCCGTGCAGCCGCTATAGTAAAGGTTCCTGGGAGTTGGGTTCAGGCTCAGCTGACGTTGAACAGTAAAGCTTCATGGGTTTCAACACTCAACCCCAGATCTCACAGTTAGGCTTCTTTGTTTGGCGCGGGTTGCATATATGTTCGGGCTTTCGGGATCTTAACTGCTGAGTTCGGGTGCTTAGGTTCGTGGTGTGTTTGTGACGCGGAGCTTGCGGGCTTGACAGAGTTTATGATCCGCTTATAGTCTCACATGTAGTTGCTTTATGCTTTGAACAACGTTCGACGTAAGATGCTCTCACGTAGCCAAAAAGGGGATGCATGCACAGCATGTGTAACATGTATAACTGTCTAATGCTTCAATCCTGAACAACCCAGCGCGCCCCTAAACCCTAAACTCTGAAAGTGCTATCAAAACCTGGCAATCGCAGGCCATGTTCAACCTTGCCGTGGCACTGAGCCGGGGCGACGGGAGTCTCAAGAACGTCTCAGAGGCCGCAGGCTTTATCCAATGGGTTTGGGTTTTAGCGTTTGGCAACCAACCAGTAGGTTCTTCTGCCTTAAAGAAGTGCTTGGACCCTTTGTCTTGAGTTTCGGTGGTGTTTAAGACTTCTGACTTGCGATCTCTGAGCCTTTGGACAGTTGACTTCGGTTGCAACTGCCACACAGACCCGTCTAGCGAAGACCTGGTCTTTTAGCTCGCCATTCGCCCAAAATCCGCTGATACGGCGGTCATGCCCGCCATTGAGCTTACAACCGGAAGCCAGGCGGTCGTTCTGAATTGGGCATCCTGTTGTTGGGGCAAAGCCTCGCCAGCTCCTATTGAAGAACACCCGGAAGCTGCCTTGGCCTTGGCCTGTTACCAGATCTGCTGCAGTCGACACTCTACGGAGTAGGATACCTCGTATACGGAGCCCTACATAAAGCATCGCTCCTTCCAGGAAGGAACACCCCCAACAAAACCCGCCCAAGCCCGAAAAGCTACCCTCCAAGCACCGTCTTCTGAGCATCGCACAAGCTTCAAGCCATAGCTTCTAGCTAGTCTCATGACCTGCTACCACAAGCCGAAACCGCCACTGGCATCGGAATACCGCATGATCTTGGGATTGAACCCTAGGCTCTAGACCCTAAGCCGTCTGTAATCCAGGCGATCAGATGGTACACCCTCGCAGCCGAGCGAGGTCATGTCCTCGTAGCTTGCCAGCAGGGTCTTTGGGTTATCGAGTTGAGGATCTGCAGTGGCTTGGTCCGGGTTTCAGGTCGAAGAGTTACGTCTAAGGCATGCAGCACAATCAATTGGCTAAACTGATACACGAGTTTTTAGGTTGTCGTCGTTGGGCTGTTGAGTTTGGAATGGCTGCTTCTGGGATGAAACTGCTTTTAGCCTCCTGTGGGACTAAGGATGTGCTTGTTCGTCTCAACTACCTGGCTTTGGCCTTGGAATTGAGGTTCTGCTAGCTGTGTTGCAGGAAGTGCCGAACTGAAAGTCCATCTCACGCTGTCGAAATGTCAGTTTCCAAGTGTCCTCGGTATAGAGCCTAGGTAACTAAGAGACACTACTCGTATGTCAGGGCGACATACTAGGGGCCTTGAGTCAGGTGCAGGGGTCGGAACAATTGTAATGGTAGTCTCCTGAAGCCATAGATGATAGTAGTGCTACATACCTCCGATACTCTATGCTGTTTATTAAGGCCCCTATATCGGGCACTCAGATACTTGGCTTTCTCTAGACCCTGAGTTCATATCCTGCTGCCTGGGCACCCTGTAGGCTCAAAGCCAGCCATATGCGGTATACGGCCTTTGGGACGAAAGGCCCTGAGATGGGAATCTGGTCTTCGTGCCCTAAGGCTCAAGCTACAAAAACTCAGTGAGCTTTTAAGCCGAAGAGAAATCCAGATCATTTGAGGCGCAGTACAACCTGGCCTACGCCTACCATGCACCTTGGCGATGGAGAGTGAACTGCGCCAGGTGAAGGTTAGGGTTTCGAGTGCTCAGCTGCGGGGACTACGCTCAAGAGGTGTAATGTTCAGGCTCTAGGGGTTGCGCATGCATGTAGGGGTTCAAGGTTTGTTTTTTGTGTTTGAAGCTTTGAGATTTGGTATTATTTATTAGCAGTGTTATTACTATTATCATTATTACTAGTTGTATTTATCCTTATCCGTTTGCGGGGAGT